AATTTCTGGTTTGCACTATTGAATTCAAATGTATAAATATCAAATGTATGGGTTACATGCTGGATCTGGTTTCAGTCCATTTGCTTTGTATTGAAAGCCTATGCAGCCTGTGCATATTAGCATTGATGATACAATAACAAAAAATCCTCACAAAATTAACTGGAGCAATTAAGAGTCTAAATGTTCCTCCTTGTTTTGAGACACTAAGTGATAGACTCAAAGAATGCTCAGGATAATTCAGTCATGGTTCTGCTTTTCACTTACTTCACTACTTATTTACTTTATTCCCAGTATTTCCATTATGAAACCTAATAGCATCCTTAAGTAAACCATCCCTGTTAAATATCCTCATCTTCCTCAACTCCCTTTTATAACACAGGTTTTCTGTCAAATATTTGAAGCATAACTCAAGATAACCATTTGATATTTTCTGAGACTTGGCAAAGCTCCTCATGATGAGTAAACTGGCCTTCATGTGTAAAACATTTGGAGTGCCCATTTAGGCGATGCGCTCTACAAAACACACACTATACTTTAACCAAACACCAGCTTGTACTGTCCGCCTACCTCCTGTGACCTCACACATGGGAGTGATGGGAGAATCGTCAGGTGGGACACCGCCGAGGGGTTCGGGCTCCACCGAAGCGTTGCCTGGGATTCGCAGTACCAGAGCGAACAGACGCTGGTCCCAGCGGAAGGGCTCCTTGGTCAGCTCGCTACCCGGCAGCGGGGTGGTCAGAGGCAGATGGAGCTGGACGGTGGAGGAGAGAAATAATGAGTAATGACAAAATAACCCATGGATCATAACAACAGACATGATATACATGTACACCAACAGACGGCAGGAATGAGTTGGTAGAGATTTTGCTACACTGTTAATACAGAGGTGGCAGCTCTCCCATTAATATCACTGTTGGATGTTTTATGGGAATATTGATAAAGTGCCTTCATATAATTCGCTGCCTTATCCAAAAAAAGATAATCACATCCTGAACATATTCCCATTACAAGATAAAATAATATATCGCCCACCCTAATCTGGGTTGTCATAAGGTATACAACAATGTTGGTAATTAAACAATAATAACTTCATTTACGCAGACACCTGCTGGTAACTGAGGTGCTTATCTCCATCATACTGCTCCGCAAATGCAGATTCTCATTTTTCCCCCATACATTTTCTTTTCAGACATTTCTTAGGCGGCCAATACTTTTAAATAACTGTCACATGAGCTGCAATTAAAGTCAAACTTCCTCACCAAACTTCACTTGGTAATTTGTGCCCAGTCTGAACAAGCACAAGCCTGGAATTATCACAGAAGCCATAAATTAGACTGCGGCTGCAAAATCAGGGATTTAATTGTATGCGCTTTAACTCCAAGAGTTTTGCTTTTCAAGCTACAAAACTGACTACATGGCTTAATAGAGTCCTCTCTGTCTCATCGGGAGTAGCAGCACAAATATTCAATGACGATGACAGACATGACAACTTATGATGAGCTTTTCACACTCTTTTCATTAAATGCCAAAAATTCATTGGCTCTTAAATGGGAATATTTTCTGGTTTTCTTGGTCTTTTCTGATAGTATATTGACCATATTTTGGTTTTTGACCATCACATAAACCGAGCAACTTGAATGTGTCAACCTGGGCTTTGGGAAGTTGTGAAGGGCATTTTCTTTTGATTATCTTACACTTTAAACATTGATCACTTAATTAAGATAAGAATTAATTGCTAATAAGTTAGTGGTGGCTTACAGACAGGTGTGATATGATGCTGTGAGTGGACAATACGGTCGGTCTGTTTTGCTTTACTTAGTCATGGGATGATTCGAACTGTAACTAATAAAAAAATACTTTGAAATAGCCGTTCTGTGAATTTCACTTTAGCCTGCACAGTGACAGATAATAGGGCGATAATAGGATAATAGATGCTTGTGCTAAAGTGAACTTCATCATGGTGTGGTCGTGTGATCAGACAGGCTCCTGAGAGTTGTGGTCCAAACCGAGCAGGAAACACTCCTGATTGGACTTTTTGGCTGACCTCATCTTGGACTCCGCTGCTGCTGGTCAACTTGTTGCCGTCGCTGATGGCGATTATGATGGCAGGCTCGAGGAAAAAGGGATTCCTTCCCTGCAGAGAGAGATAACAAAAGAGACATTCGACAAATCACGATTACTTAAAAAAGTAAACCTCAAGAACAGACAAAAGCAACGTGTTGGACTAAAAAGAGCTAGGTGCATTTACAGAAGCCAAGAGCAAAATTCATATTGGAATTTAGCAGCTGTGTATTTATAGCATAAATGAGAACAGATAACATATCATTATATAGATAACTTACAGGGGATCTATTTTAAGGGAGTGGGTGTGTGAAAGAGAGGACATTAACTCAAGGGAATAATAAAACAATAAGAGTACAGTCTTTAATACAGAGTAAAGAGTACTAAAGACCAGTATGTGTTCATTCTATCCACCACAGTACATTACCTGAGGATCTATGTGAAACCTCTTTTCTGCTAGAACCCACAATATTTCATGACACCACCAGCACACCACACTGATAAAATGAAACTGGAGCAGCGCTGCATTTATCACTATGCATCAGCGCTGTGGGACCTGCACGGAGACCACTGAATAACTTGGCGAGTTAAAAGTGTAAAAACCCCAACGCGGCCCGACAAGTCCTGTCAGCAAACCGTCAGCACGCCGGACCTCACTGCAGAGTCGTACAGAGACTTCATGAAGGCCGTCCTGTTCTGACAGAGGGGCAATTATTAATGGATGTGGACGCGCTCAGTGTGGACCTGTAGGCTGCGGGTTTCTGCTGAATGATGGTTCTATCCACTTTCACAAACAAAGTAAACAGAGCACCAAGATCCACTGTACTGTGGGTATCCATGACAACCTGGCCTTTTTTAATGCCATCCCACCAAAATTCCTCTCATGATATCAAACACTTTCTTAGCATGCTAATGAGCTGCTGATGAGGCCAACTTGCCAGATGAGTGATGATTTTATCCGTGTCACATCAGCTCACTTTGCTTTTACTGTTGCTATGCAATTAGGTGCTGCCAGAGCTATTGAAATGTGATTTTTGAACATCACAGCAGTCCTTACTGACGACAGCTGTGCTCCTGTATCTCCAGTACAGCCTGACAGGTCAGTGAATCGTTAGTAGAGCTGAAACAATCAAGTCAATTAATCTGTTAATCAATAAAAAAAAAAATGATCACCATCTATTTTCATTAAAAAAAAGTCAATTTTTTAGCAAATGCCAAACATTGGCTGGTTCCAACTATTTGGATTTGTTTCTTTTTTTGTCTTATGTGATAAACTGAATACCTTTTAGACTTTAGACACAAAACAAGCCATTTGGTGGCAACATCTTGGACATAAGGATTTGGGATTTTTCAGTATTTTCCAACATGTTACAGACTGAATAATTAAATGAGAAATAGTCAACACATAAATCTATACACATAGTAATCAGTAACTGCAGCCCCAGTCATCTGTAGCTGACTTCATAAACAGGTCGTCTTTGCAGTCAGCTACAGCCAAGTCCATCTGAAACTGCAGGATCTCTGGTCTGCTGACACAATGCCAGACTGATGGAGGTCCATTATTGCTCTGTTTATCACCCCTGCTGACATGTTAACTTATAACCAAACATCACCAGTCATATCATTTCCTCACTCTCATCCTTTCCTGTCCTCCCTTTCCTCTGCCCTCTCATTGCTCTCTTAATGAAACTGTGATCAGTGTCAGGATTACCCGCTGCCTGGCTCCCTCTCTACCTCCATACTCCACTCCATCTCCCAGGGGAGAGTCATCTCAGATGCCTGGCAACCTGGAGGGCTCTTTGTTACTGTAGAGAGAAGCACTCCAGGGCAATATTAACTCCCCCACAGCCTTACTCCCCTTTGTCTTCTCCCTCTCTAGCTTTCTACCCCACTGAACGTCCTGTATCGTGAGCACTTAGGAACACGAGGATGAAAAATCAAAGTCGACTTTTCTTTATGAATTAAATTGGAAAGAAAAGAGGACGATATTGAGTTATTATACGGGACGCTTCAAACACAAAGACAGGCGAGCACTAGCTGCATCACTTTGGCTTTGATTTACAGCTGCTGAAGCAAACTGACACAGATTAATACAGACAAAGAGTAGTCATCAGAGTGCTGATGAAACCTCTGTCACTTTTGACTGCTCAGAGAAAAGAGCTGCCCCTCAGAAAGGTTTGAGATAATTTTGTCCAGGAAATTAGGTTTATCGCCAACACCTGCACCCAATGTCCTGCTTTAATCAAATGAGTCCGGGTACTGATAAAAGACAGTGTGTATACAGGGTTTCCCCAATATCAACGTTAGTACAAATGTGACTTGTGAAACATTATTTTTATGTTGCACTAAGCCCACTTGTTCCACTTCCCTTGAAAATTATTTCCAGTAAACTGCTTAACTTCGCTTAAAAGGAAACAAGAAAAGTAACAAAATAAAATACGACAACAGAAATTCGCTTACAAAATAGATGTGATTGCCATGGGAGTTTCTCAAGTTTGGTCTTTTTAAATAAAAATCAGTAATAAAAATAACCGTTAGTTGCAGCCCTTTACCACAGTGATTATACCACTCCTTTTGAAAATAATACATAATAAGCTAAAGTAATTACAACATTGGTTATGATGTCAAAGTTTCTTTGGGCATAGAAGGGAGGGTGACTTTTATTCTGAAACTGACCTGCTGTCAGTTCTGAAAAGGCAGAGGACAGAACTGGTCATTAAACTGTCAACCTGTCATTAGAGGTCACAGGTGACCGGTGCAGGACACAGTAACTTTGACCTCAGCGTGTGCTGTTTGTGTTCACAGGCATGTGTCTGTTCTGCCAGCCTGACAGTGTGGCTGGCATTTGACATTCAAACTCCCCGAGTGTGTCTGCCATGCATTATGTATACTGTATGTATGCATTACCCTAGATGGTAGGGATCTTCCATTTGTTGCTCAGGAAATTCTAGTTGAACATTTGCTAATGCTCCTACTCTCCCGACTTACCTCCACACTGGGAAACAGGCGTCCAGATTCTATATCAACCACAAGCAGACCAAAGTGGGTATGGACCAGACTTTAGAGCTTCTACTAATAATAACTATTCTGTTCCCCAGGCAGAAAACTGCATCTCCTTTCCAGACACTGGATAAAAGACAAGGAAATCTTATAGGGTGTGATGTGACACATCTCCTGTGAGCCATTTTCTGTTGTAAGACTAAATCGGGAGTCATTTTGTGTTACACTACACGGTAAGTAGCATGATGAAAGAAGACTTGGTTATCTGTTGCAGAGAAGTAATTAGGCTGATGGAGTAACAATCTAAAGTGGTACACACAACCTCACAATTTCATACTGCCTCTAACATGGCTTTACTTTTAACAACTACCTCTCTAAAAGACCACAGAGACTTGAACTGGTGATGTCATTAGGCGGCACTTTTTGGAATAGGGCCTGTAATATTGAATTAGTTACAGACTTTGTGGGCTCACAGAATATCTGTTTGCCATATTCAGTCCCAATTAATTTTATGTGAATTCAGGCTTCCAGCTGTGAATCAGGCCGTTGAGCTGGAGGAGAGACTTCTTTCAGGTTCACAAATTAAAACGGAGTTGTGCAACACAATGGAAATCCAACATCTACGAGCTTGCAGTCTCACATCGTGAAGCCTTTTGTTGAATATCCTAACATTCATGGTCTTGGAAACAGAATATTTAAATAACTTTCCTTTAAGGTAAATCACTATATTTGCTGGTGAAAAACTTTACAAATCGCAGCATCATTAACGCAATAAAAATTTCATTAAAAAGTGTATCTTTTAGTCGTCTGGCAAGCAAGAAACTAAACTTAAAAAAAAAAAAAAACAGCCCAGCAATACATCATACCTTAATGAAGGCTGTACTGTTGGTTTTATTGAAAGCCGTTTCAGAGAAGTGTTGATTCACCTTTGTGGTAATTTCAGAAGCGTCACTCTTACTGTAGAAGTGTTTAACATATTTTGTCCTCAACGTTTATGTCAAGGAGGGTAGACTAAATATTCCAAACACATCTCAGGCTAATGCAATACAATTCAACAGCATCTCAAACGTGACCGTTAAGTTGAAATAACACCCCTCTAAAACAGTTTCAACAAAACATTATAACCCTTCTAAAAAGGCAGGATTTAAAGCAGAACTCTTATATAAGAGTACATTAGTTTTAGGTAAGTGTATGTAATAAAATACCAATTTTGGGTACATAGCTGTGCAGACTTCATTAACTATTTATCCTCCTAAGGCTGAAAGAGCTCCTCAAATTTTAAATACATCGTGCACTCGTAGGGTTTAATGTTTAAAGCTCATTTAAAACTCAAATCTCTACTCATCTGAAAATATTAGCATGATTTAAAGCACAGTGGCAGTATGTGACACAAGGTCACCAGATCAATGTGAAATCAATAAAAGGTTGCCGAGGTTAAAAAATAAAGTTGCTCCTGTCTTCTTACTTTGTTGCCGTTATGTTTGTGTCACGAGCACATGACTGAAAGTGTGTGGGGTCACAGTATGCAGGTGGTTGATGCTTGTAAGACTGGGGATAGGGGAAGGGAGCGGGTGAAGGGGGGTGTGTGGGGAGGGCATATAGCACCTTGTCATAACACTTAATAAACCTGATTTCTTCTCTGCCTCTTCAGTGCTACATACCTGTCCATAGTTGTCTATCCCAGTCACTAATCTATTGAGATTGAGTAAATCAAAAGCGGTCCTCAAGGACTGGCCAATAGTTGTGAGTCCGGTTGCTTGGAGGTTCCTCAACTCTGTCATGAATGTGGCATGGCTCTCTTTCCATCCAGCCTTTAAAAACAAAAACAACAACAACAAAACATTTGGTTAATAACGCACATAAAGATATGGTAACTGCCCCCACTGTTGTGACCACCAGACAACTTCTACACAAGTCATTGGTTAACTTGGATGTTTTATTATGACTCTTAACTGATTGACATAATATATATGTGTGTGTATATATATATGTGTGTGTGTATATATATATATATATATATATGTATATGTGTGTATATGTATATATATATGTGTATA